TACGAGTAATTAAAGTTCTAATTAATAATCAAAGGATTCAAAAAGAAGAATTTGTATATGCAAGATTGCATATTTTTAAAAAGTAATAAAAATATCTTTCTATCTTTAAGTATTATATTTTTAATATACATGTATGTATAGATATTATACATATTTCTAGTTACAGATAAAAAGCAATTCTTTTTGTTTTGTGTCACACTATCATCTGATCTATATTTAAAAAATGCTTGCATACTTGCAACAGCAAAAATTTGCGTGTGATAATTAAATTCCAATCGTAACATATGGATACCTAATGTCGTATCTGCGAGGTCTAATTTCCATTAGTGAGCCCTAAATGTTATCATTGTAACAGACAAGCATTTTGCTTTTATATCGATTATTGCAGCAAACGTTTTCTGTGTAGCAGATAATTTAGTAGCAAGTAGAATTGCAGCAAATTATATTTAGCTGTGGTAAAGATGATTTTCTTTTACACTGACATATTCGATAACTATGACAACTAACTTCATTCTGCTAAATAAATTGATCTGTAACAGACATGCATACTTTGCTATCACGTCCTTATATTAGTTACAGCAGCAAATTCTTTGTATGTATTAGCAAATTTCATAGCTATAGTAGCTAATGCAATTTTAGCTAATCAAAATTAGCTGTAGCCAGCAACATTTTTTTTTCTGTGTACAAAAAGTTTTGTTTAAATAAAATTTAATTTCTTTAAAAAGTTAAATTATTTTGATTCATTAAAAACGAAAAAAAAATTATGACAGTTAATTATATTTGTAAGATATTTATTCGTATGTGTCGCATTTTTTTCTGTTCATTTAGGAGCGCGTCGCTTATTTTTCTTACATGTCACGAATATTTTATGGTGCGACCATAAATACGGTGCGATATATCGACTGACCGATAGTGTATTAAAGATACGAGTGTATTAAAATTCCCTGGATTGACGTGGCAAAAATATCACATAAAATGGTCATGGATTAATTAAATGCGTTAACTTTTTGTCGCGTTTTTCACTTCTTTATTATCTGCACATATTTGTAACAGTACTTACATATAAAATCCATAAATAAATGCCATAATTTTATTGACGAAAATGTTGTCTTAACAAAGTAATGTTTAATGTATTTCAATTTATTTATCATATAGATAATTGAATAATAAAATCTTATTTTGTGTTTAATTCCGAATGAACTTCATTCTGTTGAAATTTTAATTAAAGAACTATTCTAACTGTAAACATATTTAAAGTTAAATATGAAAAAATAGGAATCGTGTGTGGCCACAATCCAAATAATTATACACAAAATCTGTATATCTTCTTTAAAGAATAAACTAAAATAATTTCAAAACTAAAGTATAAAGACTCGCGATAATTTTTTTATTTGTCCGGATTCGGAGAAAATATTTAATATCGAGGATTACGCTCGTATGAACGAAGTGGTTCCTCGCGCTTTTAATTTTTTTTCTCGCTTTTAGTCCTCGTCGTTTTATCATTGTTAATCTCTCTCGCTCTTCATTCTTTCTTTTTTTCTGTCGCGGTATTGGTAGTCAGTCGAGTGTGTACGTTAGATCATATGAAATTCCGCACCGCTCCGTTTCCGCAGTAATAGAGTATTTCTATACGGCGGAATTTAATTCGGGCCCCCGGAGGCTGAATGGCGGCTGGCGTCTCGGTTGCGTCTCGCGGATGAAAAGTTCGCTACGCCATCATAAATTCGGCCGTGAGGAACGTCGCGTTTATCCGAACAATAGAGGTCGCAAACCCCGGAAAATCAGCACGGCGAAATTTGCGGCTGCGCATAACGGAGTATAATACAATAAATAGATAAAAAAAAATCCCGCCTGTCGTTCATTCCGCATCACAAAAAGTTTCAGTGAAAATGCTTCTTGCTTTAAACTGAAAGGCCGATAACAATATTTTTAAGATCGATTGCTTGAAATTAATAAAAATGATCAAAAATTATTAAAAATTAAAAAGTGTGTATATGTTTTATTAAAATTAGGTAGAATTCAAGATAAAAAAATTGTTACTTTTTGATTTTCTAACAAAAGCAACTAGTATAATGAGAGTAAACGTTTATAGTCTAACAGGCACTGATAAAAGGTTTGATCATAAACGTTTACTCTTAAAGTCGAAAGCAAACATCTTTGAAATCGATCCATTTGGCTAGAACCGTCGAACAGACGACTTACGAATTACGAACTATTACAGGCGACATTTGTCCTTTTTGGGGCGAGGGTTGCAAATAAGTCGGGCGAACCGGAACGAAAAATAGAGTCATATTTTTGGGGACAGCTGTGCTGGCGCACCGTCTTCGCGGAGATTCTAATAAGAACCGCATAAAGCTTAGAAATTAATGTCTTCCACCTGTCTCGCTTCCTTCTCGAGCTGGGTTGTCGTGCTGTGGTACCCGATGAAGTTCCTTGCACCTTCTCTCGTTCTTCTTGCCCCTCGGAATGGGTTCTAGACCGACGTAATCGGCCCGCCATTGATTTGTGGTAAAAGAGAATAACGCGCTGGCCGAATCCTCTTTCATGGTATTAAATTCAGTAACACTTTCTTTCCACGAACGATAGCTTTCCCTTTGATCTCACTTTCTGTTTGATTTCTAAATAACTTACATATTTGTAAAATAATATTATTATTAATATTCCTGTTATTTTTTATTATTTATTTATATTTATAAAGATGTAGCGAGATAAATTTATAATTTACACGCTTTGTTTTAATAACCAATTATGTAAAATAAGTGTATTGATATCTGATTTTTGTTAAGATAATTTACGAAAGAATATAAGAAAAATGAGATAATTTAATTGCCGTTATATTTGATATTGACTTTTAAGTATATGTGACTTTACTCTTAAAAACACTGACTTCTCTTTTCGGTCATAATTAAAAAATTTATATAGTATAATTAGTATAATTAGTAGATAAAAGTGTTGCAAATTTTTTATGCAAATGATTAATTTAATCTCATAGCTACGGTGTATATAATGTTAAACAATTATTCTACTATAGTACGTCGTCTCGTATGTAGCTCCGGTTTATGAACTTTTGTAGGCTTTTACTTTGCGCTTTGTCTTCTTTCCCAACTTGTTATCTATAACAAGATAGACTCATAAAGGCAAAGCGCAAAATGCAAGATGGAAAGCTGCAAGGTAGCTTTGCGAAATAATTCACAACTCTGCGCGGCCGCCACCTGGAGTACAATCGCGTTAATTTTGAATCGTTATCTCTTCACAGGTAAATTTCGGACAGCAGCACCTAATATTTATCATTAAAATTGTGAGAACAAAGCGACGAGAGCGAAAACCAGACAATAATATAAAAGCGAAATAACCAAGATGCAGATAAAAATAAAAATAACAGAATGCATTAAATTGTAGATTGGGGAATAGAGAAACGAATCTCTGACACAGAGATGGGTAACCTGCAGCATGTTATTAATGGCATACGAAGATATTCACGCTTAAAGAAGTGCGTTGTTAGAGAAAAATTATAAAAATAAATGACATGAAATAGTAATTGTACACTGAAAAAAAGATTGGTTGCTGCAACAATTTAGATAGTAAAATATGGCATAGCATTTTTAATCTGTGCAACAGCAAATTTTTAATTGCGTTAGCCTATTCGCAATGTCAATATATGATTTCGATAAGCTAATGCAACCAAAAATTGGCTGTTAGTCAATTGAAAAAGCTATGACATATTTAGCCAATTTTTTCTTTCAATGTACTCTATTAAAATCTATATTTTACATTTGCTTTCTTTGGTTACGTCCATTAAGCTGATATTCATTGCTCTGTCATTTTTGTCATGAAGATTTCGAGTATAATTATTGGCTATCAGATAATTTTCTAGAGAATTCTGTTCGATAGCTAATCAAAAACTATAAAAGATAGAATAATGCTTTAAGCGTGAAAACAAAACACATGATGCAATGATTAATATTTTAATGATTAATATTTTAATCTCTGATTAATATTTTAATCTACTTTGGTTTGCAATGGTTTATTTTACAACGAACATAAAACAGAATATAATAAAAGAAATAAACTTTATTAAACAGAAGAAGTCTTTTTCAATGCTATAAAGAAGAAAATACAAATAAGATTACGAGCTTTTCTTTTTGCTTGATTCTACAGTAGAGCTCACCAAAGATTTCGAATCTCTATATAATAAGCACATTAAATAAAAAAATTGATTACTAATTTAACATAGACGACGTTTACACTTTTAATCGGATTTATTATCATCCATGGATTTAAAACTGGCCAATTATAGCTATTCCTCTGAAGAATAGAATGACTGTGATTGACCAATTTCTAATTGCGGATATTATTAAACCCGATTAAGTGTGTAAACGTAGTCAATATATAATTCTCAATCTATTTTGTATTTTTCGTAATTTCTATTTCTATATCTTTTGCTGAATATTTATTTTTTCTTACATAAAAATATTCACTGTAACATACATCCTTTATCTATTTTTATAAAAGCCGAAAGTGTGTTATGTCAAAGTAGTACGCATTGATGTATAAGATTATGCGATATATGTGATACTGATCAGATTGAGGACAGGAAAAAGAGGTGAAAGAAGAAAGAAAGAAGGAAGAGAGATACTAACATGGATCAATAAAAAACGAATGAGTAGGATCGTATGCATTTTTAAGGGCACTAACCTTGTCAATGGTCCTTACTAGGACTTATTGCTTGAACTGCGTATTTTATGGCAGCTTTCGCGTATCTCAAAGGGGCTTTCCGATTTCGCGGCGCCGTTAGGTCAGTGGGTTATGCGCTACAATATCCTCGATGTATTGTCTTTTTGACCTCGTTCTCTCGCGCAATTTACGATCAAACTTTACCGAGTATCCACGAACTTATGTAATTCAATTTAATGTCACAATTTTTATATATGTCGTATCGATGTACTTTGATTTATAAGTTTATTGAACGTATTAGTAACAAATATTATTTTTTGTGTTTTCAGATTCCACATCGAGACATCGGGGGAATTCAACAATCGAAAATGTGAGTCTTTTTACTACTGTTTTCATTTTTTTTTTAACAATTGAATTGAAACAAGGAAGTATGAAAATAGAATATTTATTATTTTTATTTATACTATAATAATTTAAAATAACGTTATATTGTTGATCATAAACTAATTTTATTTAGACATTGACATAATTATTATTGTAAAAATTGTGTCAATAATATAGTATATTTTTTTGTTTTATTCATTTCGTTTGAAATTGTCGAGCGGTCGATGTCAATCAGAAAAGAAGAGAATTTAAAGAGAGAGTTTAAAGAAGAGAATCAGGTGACTTTAAAAAAGAGAAGCGAACGTCTCCATTTGAACGGTATTTAAATGTAATGGGCGCGATGTGTCAAACGGATCGACAGTTTAAGAGCAGATCAGATTCAGATTTATGACACCGCGATGCGAAATGAACTATAAATTTTAATTCGTTCGCGATCGCCCGCTGAAATCGCCGTGCGAATCCGGATCAATTGCAGTTGCCGATGCAACAGTGAATAAACGCGAAACGCGGAATAATTTAAGACGCCGACGTAAATAAAGTTCATCGGAAAATTTTGCGCACGATTTATCGTTATTCGTGATGTATACCGCTCGAGTTAGTGCTGATTTATGGTTTTGTATTTCAATAAATAGATACGCGATGATAAATCAATAATTTTATATCCATCTAGAAAAGACAAGAGAATATGAATAATGACCGTATGGTTAAATTAAATCACTTAAAAATCATTTTAATTACCAGATTATGTGAAAATAATTTAGAGGCTATTGCAAGAGTTAATTATAATTTTCTACGCTTCATACTGCAGCTTTATCAGAGCACGTATTACAATACATAATACTTTATACAAATCTAATGAAATCACAAAATTACAAATTACAGAAATACATTTGCATGAAATTATCTGCATATTTTTTCGCGATGTTTTTATGAAAATTAGTCTCCGCAACGGTGAGCGAATATCAAATTCAATTATGCCGATAAATCCGTCGCATTCCCGACATAATTAGTCGTGCCAGAGTTCTTGTAGTAATTACGGCCGAGTGCACCACTCCGGTTGTTACATTAACCCCGGTGGCACATCGACTGGGAACACGAGGAAACACGCGTAATATCGTGCAGTCGTATCGTAATACTGCGACGAGATATCGATCGTCGCCGTCCACGCGAACGAACGAACAATCGTGATGCGCGAATTTTCTCCGAAATCCGCATCGCACAGGATTTCATCGCAGAAGTGCCCGATATTGCTCGGGATTGCGTGGTCAAATTTAATTACCAGTTTCGTAAATTCGCGCGCCCATCCACCGGCCAATTAATCGGATTTATGGCGAACGGCGAACCTGAAGGTTTTCGACAGGGTTTAGCCTTGTTTCGATATGTATTGCTCTTTTACTCGGAATACGAGAAAATCATCCTTTTGAATATTTTCAAAACAAATCTCTTAAAAGCTAAAAAATTTTACATAGTGAGAAAAATGGTTCGATTCTATCTTCTCTCTTCAACAAGACTTATACGGTTAAACGCATTTTGATTAAGTCAACCAGAATTTCCAGTTATTATGGCAAGACTCGAAATTTTACTAAATTTTAACTAAAACTTTTGGTAAATTATGTTGTGTATGTATGTGTGTGTTTTTTGTGTGTGCGCATATCGTTATGTCATGTATAGTGAAGTGGAACAAAGTAATATGTGACATAGCTCATAAAGAAAACATCTTCTCTTCTTCGCCAATGTAATTTTGAGATAGTAGTTTTAAAGGTTATTGTAATAGAGTAATAAAAAAAAATTTGGATTTTTATAGTTATATTACTTTAAGTATCGCATTTGGATTATGAGTGTATTCTGTTCTGCGCATGATGAATTATTTATTTTTGTTTACATTCAATGACTAACGAGGATAAATAATGCATTATTCGTGGAACGAAATACACCATAATTAACGGAGAAACTATTTAATCAACAAAAAGTTCCGCAAATATAATTGAAAAATTTATATGATTAACGAAAAATTCTGATAAATTTAACGGGAACGCATTTGATCAACAAGAAATTTTGGTATATTTAATGAGAAAAATTATTTAATCAAGAAAAAATTAATCGTATTCATCCGGTAATTTTTACAAGAATTTTGATTTATTTTTTAACAGACATTCTGATTGAATCTAACAGATTTGAAATTAATGCAATCAATCTCTTTTTTTTTTAGTGATATAATTAAATTAATAACTGTTCTTCTATCGAGTTTTTCAGAGATGTCATCTTTGTTGTTTGTTATTGTTCAACTGTTATAGATATTTACAATATATAGATATTTATTAGAAATGTTGTGTACTTTTGTATAGTTATTTATAATGCGCAGGATTTTGGTAGCTATTTTCCTTGCATGACAGGCTTAATGGTAAGAGGAACTTTAGCTGAGAACGTTACTTTAATTTTAAATTGATTCGAAGTTGCTTCTGTGTTGCGTGGAGTTAAATGACTTCCTGAGTGGACAGTAAAGCTTGGTGTCGAGTTAGGTACGGTGCGAGCTTTCACGTCACACACGGAGCTGTCGACTGTGCATGCTATTGATATCGTGAAATATGCTCTCTCCACTTTAAGAAAGTCTTTTTATGATTGGTCAACCAAAGCTAGAATTCAAGAAACAAGAAACTTCAAGAAGAAATTCTTGGAAAATAATACTGAATCTACTCTGGAAATCTACGCTGACCTCGAAGCACGTTACGACTTGTACATCACATCCTTAACTTCAAGAAAACAATTTGAAATAATCTTCCGTGAGCATTGTGCTTAGTACTTATAACTGAGCGCTAATTTTCAATTACAGATAAAAAGACGATATAAACAAAGAACTCGAATATTGCAAAAATTACATTAACTTACTTTAAACATATTAAATATGCCTTCCAACAAGTGACACAAATGATACAATGGATCATTACATTCTTGTTGTTTGCTAATGTTAAACAAAGTTGACATGATTATTGTGTCGCTTCGTGTCGCTTGTTGGAAGGCACACTAATTTACAGAATAAAAAATGCAATATTCTTGCTTTTTAAAATAACTTTTAGTAGCAATAATTTGTATCTAAAATCATTAACGAATCAACTTAATGTTAATTTGCTATATTCAAAATTAATTAATTTTATTTAGTTCGTATTAAGGATGTCCGTATTTTTTTAGGAGAGATAAATCAAAATTTTATAATAATAATATTTCATTGCACATTTTTTACCCATTTATATTCATACATACAAATTTATTACTATTATTTTGAGAATATATAATTATTATATAAATGTATTATATGTATACATCGTTTGGTATTAAAATTTTTATTGCCACGACAAGATAGGTGTAAGTCGAGAAAGAGAAGTTATATTAGAAATGTCGCACAGGAGGAGGGCAAATGTCTCCTCTTGCCCCTTTCTTATCCACCCCTCTAGATGCTCGTAGTTCGTACTAATTAAGAGATAAACTTAATTTTCTCTTTGCAAAATTTTGTTAAGCGTTTTTTAATCTCTTATATTTGAATTAAGATGACAAAGAGGCAAAAATAATTTCGATTATTATAGCGTGTCATAGTTGTTACGTCAGTTCTTTTCAGTGGAGATTGGTGACAAGACGATGTCGTTTGCGTGGAAATAATTGTTAATAGGTTCTGTTGTTAATAAATTGTACGCGAAGACGATGTATTAACGTTGATTCGTAGCAGTAAATCCTTGACGTTTACGCGACGTAAATTTAATAGCTGTTCCCTTTGGCTAAGCATCGTATTTCCTGCATTTTTGATGCTCGTTTACGACTCTTGTTGCTTTTATTTTATTTATTAAAATATTAAAGGACAACGAGACACAATTATTAATTTATTAATTTTTCTTGATTCTTTAAGAAGATAGTCTTCTATTTTCATTAATTAAAAGTATACGTATTAAAATTTAAATTGCTTGCAACAAATTTAAATCTTTTTATTAAACAGAATTATATAATAATTGTATATTATCATAATGATATTCAAGGATTTTATTTTAATATGACATTTTTAAGTTAACTTTGAATGCATAAATATTTTTACAATTGCAATAAATAAAATTAGTAACAATAATTCTAAGACATCTGTATTTTTGTTACGATACGTTCCAATAACTTTTACGAGGCTTCTGTCTAGAGTATCTTCTTTTCTATATGACGTTGCGAATGACGATGTGCGATCGCTAAATTTAATGTCGTGTCGTGTATATAGTGGTTGTCTTTCGACGATGTCTTGTGCCACATCCTTCTCCTCGGATTATTCTCGATACCCATGGTTTTACAGCGCTGTAAAGCCTCTCGTATCTTGGTGTGCTTTATATCAATCTCACAATCATATTTCAAACGCGTGAACAAGGCGCCTCATGCTCACTCATCACGATGTATGAACGGAAATTCGATTCTTCTCTGACGGACTCGATCGGCAATTTATTATATATCTTTGATTTTTCAATTCTTATATTTAAATTCTTATGATTATCTCGATTACTGTTTATTACAAATAGTGTAATACTGTTATCGAGGAATAATTATTAGGTGTTGGAATTAATTCGTAGCGTTTTACAAGTGATGGGAAGTACTTTCATTAATGTATTTTTTAATGCTCATGTGAAATAAATAACATTCTTTCATTAAAAACGCTACGAATTAATTCCAATACCTAATAGATACATTACTTTAAATAAAGGAATAATAACGAAGGATTAAATACGAAGGAAAATATCGAGGAATAATTAATTTTATTAATTATTTCAAAATTATTTCTTTAATGATTTTATATAATTCTACAATAGAGTCGTCGTAAGCGGTAAATCGTAAAAAATTAATCAATCATACTCGATTATTTTTCTTACACTTAACTGTGATTGGCCAATTTTTTACAGCTTACGACCTTATTGTGTAGAACAGACATTATACTTTAGTCAGAATTTAATTATCTATAATTTTTAGTAT